CGGGTGACCAACAGATGCTGACTGCCTTCAACGACGCCTTACAAGTCAGGTGATTTAGAAGCGCCGACTGAAATAATGACGCTTGAGCGAGGCGGAATGGTGACTTGTTCTTCCTGCGCATTCAAGGCATGGTTTCCTGACGGCGTGCGCGGTGGCAGTGCTTCTTCTGTGTATAACGTTATCGACTTGGTTTTTCAGGTTGATGACAGCACCATGGAGGCATAAGAAGTCCATGCCAAGGATGACATCTCTCGAGCAACGCTGTAGGACTACGAAGTCTGTAGGATAAATACGGCCGTTAATGGTGACTCTCGCTGTGCATATTCCTTCAGGCGTTACGAGATGACCTCCGGCTGTGCGGATTTCAGGGCCTTCCCAAGCTGTCCTAAGTTTCTTTAACTTCACTGCGAACGACCCACTGATGACGGAGTAGTCGGCTCCAGTATCGACGAGAGCGGTCACACTGTGGCCGTCGATAAGAACGTCGAGGTCGCTAGTACGCCATCCCGCATTACAGTTAGTGCGTGGCGTCGGGTCACGGCTGCGTTGGCTTGTTCCGCTGGTTCCATGTTGCGTCGTCAGGTCACCTTCGGTAAGTGAGGTTTCGCCGTCAGGGCTTTGCCTAGTTGGCGTTGTGTTCGGAAAGCTCCGTCACGGGGGCGTCGTCGTCGGAGGATCTTCGGTAGTTCGTCGCACAGCAACTGCACCTCCATCGGTTGCTGCCCTTAGTTTCCCGGATACGGGCTAAGAGACCGGCCCCGCGTTGGGCCAGAGTACTGCCGGTGGTGCGGTGGACGTTCGGCGGCTGGGCGACGGCTGAACGTGAAGGGCTTCGTGGTGTCCACTGAGTTCCCTGTACAGGTAGTCGGCGATGTCACGTGGTCGTTCTCCTGGCTGTGGACGTGGTGCATTGACGAAGAAGCCACGCAGTCCCATCTATCGGTACTGGCAACGGCGGTATGTGTGTCCGGCCTCGCCACAGTGGTAGCAGAGCGGGCGGTGGTCAGGGGTGCGCCAGACGTCAGTCTTCCTCGGTGCACTGCGCTGGGCCGCATGGCGAACGGTATGACGTCGGTGGGGTGGTGGCGGCGGTGGTGTCTGTCGACGGAAGTACGATGGAGCGGCGTTCTTGCGTGGACGGGGAGGAGCGTTGTGGCGCACTACAGCGGCGCAGCGCATAGTTTCCGGCTCGGGCAGCGGTGCCTGGGGAATTCGAAGCAATTGCCGAACTTCCTCTTGCACAATGTCGGCGATCGAATCCACTTGAGGCTGAGCCGAAGGCAACAGCTTGCGTAGCTCTTCCCGCACGATCGCTCGGATCGTTTCACGCAGGTCTTCGGAGTTACTAGCTTGAGCAGCAGCGCCTTCTGGAGTCAGGCGACGATTATACTGTCTGGTGCGCATGTCCAGGGTCTTTTCGGTAGTGGTCGCTTCGGCTACAAATTCTTGGACGGTGCTCGGTGGATTTCTCATCAGTCCCGCGAAGAGCTCCTGTTTGACTCCTCGCATGAGGAAACGAACTTTTTTCTCCTCAGGCATGTCTGGGTCAGCGTGACGGAATAGTCGGGTCATTTTTTCTGTGAAAATGGCAACATTTTCATTTGGTAGCTGAACCCGGGTCTCTAATAAAGCAGGGGGCCTCTCTTTGCGAGCGACGCTCGCGAACGTTTGCAGGAATGCGCTACAGAAAAGCTCCCACGTTCGGAGCGTGGACTCCCGATTTTCGAGCCAGGTCCTTGCGGTGTCTTCCAAATATGAGAACACAAGACGGAGCTTTTCGTCATGGTCCCAGTGGTTGAGGGCGGCCACACGGTCGTATGTTTTTAGTCAGGACTCCTGGTCTTCGAACGATGACCCTGCGAAAATTGGCGGTTCCCTGGTTTGGTGCATGACCATCGTGGGCTGGGACGCTGCGGTTGTCATCGTCGCTGCAGTCGCGGTCATGGCCTTGGTCTTCCACGCTTTGTCTTGTAGAAGCCCGTACTCCGGTGGTAGCCCTTGCTGCCGGCGGCTTGTTCGCTGCTCCTGGTTGGAGTCGGTGTCTTCTCCGTGACGTGGGCTGGGTTCACGGCTTGACGGGGGCGTCCGGTACATGAACGAAGCAGCACCTCCACCAGGTGTCACGGGGTCGTGACGTGGCCGAAGACAGGAGACTTTATGTTGGAATTAAACTGTTTATTTGGGCGACTCTGTGCCCGGTAAACGGAAAGTTTGATTACAGTAGCAGTCTTGCACAGATAGCAGTTAACGGAGCGTCGGCCGTCGATCAACTACTGACAAGCGGCGAAGTGCGTCGGCATTTATACTCTTGCCATCGAATGTTCTAGCGTTACCGCTGGCGGTGGCGTAGGTTCCATAATAATCTGTACAGTTCGCAGAGTGGGCGTGATCTTATCGAAATGATCTACTAAAGTTCGGAAGCTTCCCGAAAAGTGCATGCGCGTTTCGCGCTGGGAATTGTGTAGTGTTTTGGGGCGATAACAAAACTTGAGAAATTCAACGTGGCGATAGCTCCCTAAGAAAACAGCTTTCGGCAACGTTAGCACGGTTCGGCGACCAGCTGCTTTCGGCGCTGTCAAATTTGGAGTGCCAGAAATTTCGAACTTCCCGCTAGAAAGCGACGAAGACGCTGCTGAAGTTTGTGCGGCCAACCGGACTCACAAAACGACTGTGACACTCCCGTGCTTGAGTATGTGTGCGTTCTAAATACGAAGCATTTCTTAGCGAACTTCGGCGACACTGAGTCTATCTATCTATCTATCTATCTATCTATCTATCTATCTATCTATCTATCTATCTGTCTATCTATTTATATCTATCTATCTATCTATCTAGCCGTTTTGGGGCTCTCATGGCCACCCCATTATCTTGGCGCGAACTAAAATTAGCATGGGAGGATAAGATGCTTTTACGAATATGACGCGCTAGTCAAGACATGAATAATGCCACAATCGCGTCGCGTACATCGTCAAACACTTCCCGCCAGACAGTGTCACATACCCACGGGCTGGTATGTGCCGCTAATATGCGGGTAAGTGCCACAGGTGATTGACACTTAGTACCTCATCTACCCAGGAATGACGAGAACAAAAATGGGCAATTTTGACGCGTGAGTGTTAAGAAATACGCGACATTGATAGCGTCGACCCAACGAAGGCATAGAATGAATTCCAGTGTTAGGAAAACCGTGCCATAGGCAGCGTGGAGCCCCCGACAAATGCAAGTAATACATTTGAGGGTCCCAGCAGGAATCGACCCCAAGCATTCTGCGTGGAAGTCAAGCATTCTTTCACAAAACTGTGCCCCTATGCCAGGTCTTAGAACTACTTTTCAAATAGACGCCAATCTTTGTGAAACATCAATAGTGGTTGCAGTGCTGCCTAATAAATTTTATAAACATTACATATATACTCCTTTGATACAGCCATCAGTTCAGATTAACGTCAATTGTGGTTAGGCTTCATGCGCTGAAGTTGATTTATGTAACAGTGTCCAAGGCCAGCATCTTCGCGAGCTTGAGCGCTTTATATCAGCTTCTGGTGTTGCTATTAACATGTTCTAGTTGACATCGTTGCGCAAGTGCATACAACTGGTTGTATAAACATCTGCAATTCTTCAACGTATATCTGTGCGTGCAACATTTGTACATATAGTTATCGTCATTTCATGACGTGTAGCTCAATTAAGAAATTGCAACACGGTCACCTTCCCTTCACCTGCTTTGCAAGACGTCGATTCCCAGGTACTTGTGATCTGCCGATTTCTTCTATTTTCTTTTTGTTTTACCATTCATTTCCCTCGTTTTTCTATCCTCACCTTTTTATGCCTATTTCCCTTTCCCCATTGCAGCGTAGCCAACCGAATATTTTTTTCTGGTTAACCTCCCTGCCTTTCACTAAACCTTTCTCTCTCTCTCCATCATTGGAGCTTTATTTTGGTCATGGCGCCGCCATACTTATACGTTAAGGCACCTTGATGCCCGCTTTCGGGTGATTTTATCTGCGGCGTCTACTACGATGCGGCTGCCATATTTGTGCTCTCGTCGTCTCACCTCTCAGCGGCGGCTTAGGTGCGTGGCGCTGAATGCTAGACAAAACTTGGCGGCGTGGTAGCATCACCCCCTCCGAATCCAGACAATAAAATTGGCCCCGTATCTGCAAGTTAGACTGCAAATGTCGTTCAAAGACGGTAGTCTTGCGCCTGGAGAGAGGGAACAAAATGTTTATTTGATGTTCTGCGCAAGAAGGTCGGTGAATGGTATTCTGAAGGCGCTGCGTTAGAGCACCTCAAGCGTGCCGCGGAGGCGATCGGACGCATCAAGTCACGCCACACGTGAGACATGAGCGCTATCTGGCAGTTAGCTTGCGTTAGCGCCCATCTCGGAGGCAATGATGTGTAGAACGCAAGGCGACTGGTAGGTGCCACCACCCTGTCGTCTTAGCAAAGCGTTGGAAACACTTGCTTTTTCATGCAAGCGTTGAATTGTCAGCGCAGCGTGATAAACGCTATACGGTACTTAGAATTACTTATGCATGCTTTTTCTAGTAAAAAAAAGACAGACATGCAAAATATTGATGCGTTGTTATGGTGTCTCAGATATTCCCAATAATTGCTTTTTAGTTGACAATCACACAAGTACGAACTCTGATTCTTTAGCAATACTCGTGGCGCTGCGGATGGGATCGGCCATTTGAGGTATTGTTTGGTGCCGTTCAAAATTTTGTTAAGCGTAAACAAACAAACAAAGGTACAGACAGACAGACAGACAGACAAAAATTTTTGCGCCGAAGGTCCCCCAAAAAAAAACTATCGTCCTTAAAAAGAGGACGCACGCCCACCATGTTTTTCTTGGCGCCGTCAAGCGCCTCCAAGTGAGGTCGTTCAAGAAATATACGTTCACCGAATTGGGTAACTCCTTGTTATACGTGCACGCACCACCATACGATGAGCGCACTACTCCTATTATTCAAGTTGTTTTATCGCTCGGCTTGTTCACTCACCGAGGAAATCTGTTTGCTGACTTTCGACCCAGTTGGTGACCTTGAGTACAAATCCGTGCGGGTACCTCTCCCATTCAGGGTCATTCCTAGCAAGCTGAAATAGACGAATTGGATAACAATGTATTACTATAGTTGGACATTTAAAGTAGTCGAGAGTTCGACGGAATGCCGTCTGGTCATGTAAAGGCATTGTTGAAAAAAAACAGGTCACTGACCAATGTCAAACAAAACAATGACGTTTCGGGACCCGTACGGGTCCCTTGTTCACAATGGAATGACGGCTGAGCAACAGGTTCTTATGTAACGTTGAGCGCATGACGCAAAGTCCGGGAGTACACGTGGTTTAGTGTGCCAGATGATCTATTGATTGTGTTACTTGTCGTCTGAATGATTACCAATTCGAGGTTCAGTCTGGTTGTAAAATTCTTCTCCGTGGCTACGATGCGTGCGTTGTCCCAGCTTATCTCGTGGCCCGTCTTCTCGGCATGCTCTGCGAGTGCATTTGTCACTGTGTGGCCCTTGGCGACGTCATTCTTGTGTTGCATAAGACGTTTGCAGTAATTTCCACTCGTAGCAATGTACAACGATTCGCAATCAGCGCATGGTATCTTGTAGACCACACCAGGAAAATGTTGCCGAGGGAGAGGATCCTTCACATTTAGCAACTCAGCTTTAAGCTTGCTTGCTGGAACATGCGCGATCTGTACACCACGTTTTCTGAATAGACGGGCTAGGGCTTCGCTTATATTTCGAATATATGGAATCGAAGCACGCTTTTTTGTAGACGATGTGTTATGCATGGCCTGACTAGTTGACTGCAGTTTATGCATGACGGATTTAGTTGTTTTCCTAATAAAAATCTTGGGGTATCCATTCTTGATCAGGTCATCTTCAATGGTCCGGAGCTCCTCCTGCAGGCTTTCTTCATCGGAACAAATGCGAATCGCTCGTTGAACTAAAGACCGAATCACTGAGCGTTTGTGGGCTACCGGGTGGACTGACTCGTAGTCGAGGTATCTACCGGAGTGCGTTGGCTTTCGATACACAGCGAAGGCGAGGCCTGTGGGAGTACGTTTTACAACTGCATCCAAGAAAGGGAGGCAACCGTCTTTTTCTTCTTCCACAGTAAACTTGATGGAAGTCTCGACGCCATTTAGGCAGTCAAGGAAAGCTTGGACGTCTTTCTTCTTTATCACGCAGAAGCAGTCGTCGACGTATCTCAGAAAAACCTTGGGTCTCGGCTGAAATGTTCCCAATGCTTTCTGCTCAATTGCTTCCATTGTGATATTCGCAGTTGTGACCGAAATCGAAGCTCCCATTGCGGTACCGAAAACTTGCCTGTAGAATTCACCCTTGTACGAGAAGTAAGTGTTGGATAGGCAAAATCGTAACAAGGTGCACAGCTCGGTGACATCGAACGGTGTGCGATCGGCCAATGTCGTGTCCTTGTGAAGCAATAGTCTGGAAGTGTCTACAGCAAGGTCGACGGGAACACTTGTGAAGAGGGAGCAGACATCAAATGAAACCAGTACTTCGTCGACATCCACAGTGATACTCTTCATTTTGCTTATGAAGTCATTGGTGTTCCGGAGGTTAGTTTCAGTCTTGCCTGCAAGGGGAGCCAGGATGCCGTGAAGATACTTTGAGAGGCTGTATAGGGGTGACCTAGTGAAATCTACTATGGCTATATAAATCTACTATATAAGCGAAGCCCTAGCCCGTCTATTCAGAAAACGTGGTGTACAGATCGCGCATGTTCCAGCAAGCAAGCTTAAAGCTGAGTTGCTAAATGTGAAGGATCCTCTCCCTCGGCAACATTTTCCTGGTGTGGTCTACAAGATACCATGCGCCGATTGCGAATCGTTGTACATTGGCACGAGTGGAAATTACTGCAAACGTCTTATGCAACACAAGAATGACGTCGCCAAGGGCCACACAGTGACAAATGCACTCGCAGAGCATGCCGAGAAGACGGGCCACGAGATAAGCTGGGACAACGCACGCATCGTAGCCACGGAGAAGAATTTTACAACCAGACTGAACCTCGAATCACTAATCATTCAGACGACAAGTAACACAATCAATAGATCATCTGGCACACTAAACCACGTGTACTCCCGGACTTTGCGTCATGCGCTCAACGTTACATAAGAACCTGTTGCTCAGCCGTCATTCCATTGTGAACAAGGGACCCGTACGGGTCCCGAAACGTCATTGTTTTGTTTGACATTGGTCAGTGACCTGTTTTTTCAACAATGCCTTTACCTGACCAGACGGCATTCCGTCGAACTCTCGACTACGTGAGCATCCGCCACAAGTATGGACAAACGGCTATCACCAGGATTCGTCAGTTCTTGAGTGCATCTACACGACTGGCAGCCTTCAAGACGCACCTGCGTTTCAACATAACCTGTAAGTCCAAGCAACTCATTCCAAAATCTTTGCAGCTAAAGCACCCTGTGAAATCGGCATTCGGTCATCAAGTCATTTCGAAAGCTGAACGGCAGCTTCTTCAAGCACGGATAGAAGACTGCAAGCAGACTGTGAAGCGCCTTGAGACTGACATTTTCTTCACAACACGCCAGCTGGAATTCATCATGCCTGAATTACTCCCTGAAATACATCTCGTGGCGAACCAAGCATCGCGACGACGAACAGAAAAGCAGGAAACGTCACAAGAGCGCAAACTGAGTGCTTTGCTAGAAAAAGGCAGGAAAACCAGAGGACCCATGTTCGAGGTCAGGAACTTGTCGTCATACGAGCTTACTCCTGCGGAATGCCAAGTTTTGAGCCGTGGTCTCAACTTCAACCAAGCAAAGCAGCCGGACACACGCAAAGTCGTGTGTGCTGTCGAAAACGCTATTGGTCTACTTGGAGAAAGTGAACGAGACGAAATCCGTACGAGAGCAGTAGGTATACTATCAAGAATTCGCAAGTCTGGCTACCAGCAAGTCCTCTCGGAAGACGAGGAAAAAGCGATTAAGGCATTGCACAAAAACATGAAGATTGCCGTACTTCCTGCGGACAAAGGCAATGTGACGGTTGTGCTTGACCGGTCGACGTATGAGTCGAAGATGACGGAGATAGTGGGGGACTGTACAACGTACGCCAAGATTAACAAGGATCCTACCTCGAAAGTCCAAACGGGCCTGCAAAAGACGCTCTCTAGTATTTTCCAGACGCTTCCTGCATCAGCAAAAAGGTTATACTTCCAGCTGCTGTGCACCAATGGTTCTGCTCCAGCGATATACGGTTTACCGAAGATTCACAAAAGCGGAACGCCTCTAAGGCCCATAGTAGATTTCACTAGGTCACCCCTATACAGCCTCTCAAAGTATCTTCACGGCATCCTGGCTCCCCTTGCAGGCAAGATTGAAACTAACCTCCGGAACACCAATGACTTCATAAGCAAAATGAAGAGTATCACTGTGGATGTCGACGAAGTACTGGTTTCATTTGATGTCTGCTCCCTCTTCACAAGTGTTCCCGTCGACCTTGCTGTATACACTTCCAGACAATTGCTTCACAAGGACACGACATTGGCCGATCGCACACCGTTTGATGTCACCGAGCTGTGCACCTTGTTACGATTTTGCCTATCCAACACTTACTTCTCGTACAAGGGTGAATTCTACAGGCAAGTTTTCGGTACCGCAATGGGAGCTTCGATTTCGGTCACAACTGCGAATATCACAATGGAAGCAATTGAGCAGAAAGCATTGGGAACATTTCAGCCGAGACCCAAGGTTTTTCTGAGATACGTCGACGACTGCTTCTGCGTGATAAAGAAGAAAGACGTCCAAGCTTTCCTTGACTGCCTAAATGGCGTCGAGACTTCCATCAAGTTTACTGTGGAAGAAGAAAAAGACGGTTGCCTCCCTTTCTTGGATGCAGTTGTAAAACGTACTCCCACAGGCCTCGCCTTCGCTGTGTACCGAAAGCCAACGCACTCCGGTAGATACCTCGACTACGAGTCAGTCCACCCGGTAGCCCACAAACGCTCAGTGATTCGGTCTTTAGTTCAACGAGCGATTCGCATTTGTTCCGATGAAGAAAGCCTGCAGGAGGAGCTCCGGACCATTGAAGATGACCTGATCAAGAATGGATACCCCAAGATTTTTATTAGGAAAACAACTAAATCCGTCATGCATAAACTGCAGTCAACTAGTCAGGCCATGCATAACACATCGTCTACAAAAAAGCGTGCTTCGATTCCTTATATTCGAAATATAAGCGAAGCCCTAGCCCGTCTATTCAGAAAACGTGGTGTACAGATCGCGCATGTTCCAGCAAGCAAGCTTAAAGCTGAGTTGCTAAATGTGAAGGATCCTCTCCCTCGGCAACATTTTCCTGGTGTGGTCTACAAGATACCATGCGCCGATTGCGAATCATTGTACATTGGCACGAGTGGAAATTACTGCAAACGTCTTATGCAACACAAGAATGACGTCGCCAAGGGCCACACAGTGACAAATGCACTCGCAGAGCATGCCGAGAAGACGGGCCACGAGATAAGCTGGGACAACGCACGCATCGTAGCCACGGAGAAGAATTTTACAACCAGACTGAACCTCGAATCACTAATCATTCAGACGACAAGTAACACAATCAATAGATCATCTGGCACACTAAACCACGTGTACTCCCGGACTTTGCGTCATGCGCTCAACGTTACATAAGAACCTGTTGCTCAGCCGTCATTCCATTGTGAACAAGGGACCCGTACGGGTCCCGAAACGTCATTGTTTTGTTTGACATTAGTCAGTGACCTGTTTTTTCAACAACGACATTTAAAGTAGCAGTTATTGCGATTGGATAGTCAATAGCCTGATAGTAGCCACTGTACTGCTAGCAGAGCAAGTCACCCCATGTCGTGATTGTTCGAGCTGTGCGTTCACTTCATCTTTGCGTCACGTCCCAAAACCATGATATCGTTATGAGGGACGCCGTCGTCGAGGACTTCAGACATTTTTAACGTGCGCTGACATCACACAATACGAGAGCCTCTACCACATCTTCCATCAAAATTCAACTGCCGCGACAGCACTCGAGCCTGTGATGTTCGGGTTCGATCACCCCAACGAAATACCAACG